ATTGTCCCTTATTTCTGTGAGGTCTTGGGAGGTCCTGTTTTCCCAGCCTGTAAAATGGATGATATTCTTACCTGATGGAGGTGGGAAGTATATTGAGATGTGCAGCACAAGTTTGCCAGGTACCAAACTGCAGAGGGAAAGGTAAATGGGCCCAGTGCTCTACAGCAAACCCAAACAACAGAGTTTGCTGCCACTCCTGGATAGAGCAGAACACAGCTGAGGTTGAAATCAAAGGGGAATGTGCCAAGCAAGCAGCCACCACTAGGAAACAACACACTGCCTGCACAGAGGTCTGAGTGCTGCAGCTCTGTACAGAGCATCACTGATGCTCAGCAAGTTCAGTTTCCAAACTGGGCACTAATAGTTTTTTCTCCCTCTTGGGGCTGGTCTGGGAGCAGGATGCTCCCAATCTTGGTGTCAGGAGAGTGGTAGTGGTTGTGTATGAGCATGTGTCAGGTGGAAGGAAGAAGTGGTAAAGCAGCCCTGCAGATAAATGTTCTCACTGGTGGTTGTGTTTGTGTGCGTCTGTTTATTTTAATTAACCTCCAAACAATGTATTTGATTTTTTTCTTAATTTTAAATATTGAACCCAGCTTCAAAGTGGTCTCCTGAGGTAGTGGTTCAGATAATTCCTGGCAGAGAACAACTTTTGGGTAAGAGCTGGAGCCTCATAATGAGGCCTTGAAACATAAAGCCATCACTTCATTTCCCCAGGTACCTGCGTGCCTGGAATACATCCTCCTTATACTCCTTTGTTTGAACTCTAGGAGGGGTGACAGAGTTATTAATTAAAACCATGGCATGCACAAGGTTTGGAAAGGGAACAAGAAATGCAAAAGGAGTGATTTCCTCCTCCTCCTCCTCTCCTTCCCCTGCAATTTATTCTATTCCTGGTTTTCCATGTGATATCTTGTCCTTGCAAATAAAAAAAAACCAACCCACCTCCCCCATCCAGACTTATTTTGAGGAGGTGCTTGGGAACACCTTTTGCTTTGAACTGTATCCTTACTTTATTTCGTAGGTACGAAGGCAGCAGCAGGGACCCACCCACATGCTCCCTGGATTGGGGATATTGGCACTGTGCAAATATAACACAAAAAAACCATGTAGGCAGTAAATCCCTGTCCTGTTCTGGGGATATGAGGGAAGCTCACAGAAACACCTTTCAGTTCACAGCCCTGTTTGAACCACTGATGTTGCCCCCATCTAGGTCAGGCTCTTGAAGTGAAAAGATGTAGAGGGAGTTACAGGTGAAGACTACAGGTCAAATCAAGGAATCCAGTGCTGTTATCTCTTTTAGACAACAGTTCAGGGCCCATTATCCAGCAGAAAACATACTTTGTAGCATCTGCTTCTCTGTAACCTTCTTGCCACTCTTCCCCATCGCTGAAGAAACTGGTGTCCTTACTGGCCTGGATGCTGCAAACATAAGTGCATTGTCTGTAGTGATGTAATTTTAAAAAAATTAATATATTAAAAACATTTCCTTCCTCTACAATCATGATAATTTTTGAGCTTCCTGCAGTGGAACATTTTCTTAATTGAATTCCTAGTACATTGAACATCTCTAAAATGCATGAATGGCAATTTCATCTTGCTGGCTGTATTCTTGAAAGGGACACTCTTTGAGGACTGTTCATGAAACAAAGACCTTTTTCCCCTCTGAGGCCAAGGTTTTAACTCCTGTCTTTGCTTCACCAGTCAGCATCAGCCCTGTTTTCAGTGTGGTAGGTCCTTTGTTGGAGAAGAGCTCCTGTGTCTGTCACAGGAAACAGGTACATCTCTGCAAGAGCTTTTAGGGAAAAAACAGAAAGACTAATGGGAAATAATCTCCTCTTCACAGGAGGTCTGAATTCTTCCCTCTCCTTCTTTGAAGGTCAGGGTCTATCACAAGCCAACTGCATCACAGCTCCAGCAGAACATCTCTCCCTTGCTATCCAGCTTCATTATGGTTCCTATTGTCTCTTTTCTCCCAGGACAGTGTTGTGCTGCACTTGGCTGCTCATGAGCCCTCACAAGCAAACCTCTTGGGGCATGGAATAGTCCTGATAAAAAGCTGTTTATGTGCAGTGAGAAGATGCCTAGCTTGAAATCACCCTGCAGTCTTCCTCTGTGCTCCATTATAAATGTGGCAGCAGGCAGGTAAATCCTGCTGGTTAACAGAGAACAGCTTTTTCCCCCCTAAAAAATTGTTGAGTCCAGCTGTTTAGAGGGAAAGCACCAACTATCTGCTATCTCAGGAAACTGAGAACAAGCAAAAGTGCAAGGCATTTCACGCCGAATCTACAGGGCCAAAATGGGTGCAAGAACACCTTAAGCCCCTGGGGCTCAACACATCTGCCAACAGAAGTAGTAGTACAGGGACTGATTAGGCCATTTCAGTGTTTAGTGGTGATTTTGCCGAAAATGCTCTGTACTGAAGATGTTTTCCCATTTGGGTTAGCATAGGAATGCTCTCCTAAAACACTGAACACGAATGATATTTTTAACTTAAAATGGCTGCTCAAAATACAAATAAGAGTGTAGCTAATTAAGCCCCTGATCATTTAAAATTACTGTATGTGGCTCAGGGAACATAGTCCCTATCAGTGAGGGCAGAGCACTTTGCTAAAGGCATGTCTAAAAACAGGTGCTACAGAGGGAAAGGAAGGTCTCGAGACTTTTCACCTCCCATCTACAGAACAAAACTGTGCCTTTTTTGTGTTAATTTTGATATTTTTCTAGTGTCTTTGATTTGCTACAGAGAAGAAACAAGAGATAACAAACATGAAATCTTCCACAGCTTCAGTGTCCTACTTTCCAGCTCTCCCCTTTTCATTGATCACCTGTATGGAGGGCAAGGCGTACATTTTACTCGAGGCCAGAGCAGATCAAAAACACTCAATATGTTATATATATGTTCAGTTAGGAACTTAAATTAGGTTGCAGTTCAGTGGGGAGGGTGGCAGAGTAAGGTTTTCTTCCCTTCACAGCCCCAGTGACAGAGCAATTGATAATGGCTGTGTATTGTCACCTCTTGCCATCTTATAGATGGGATCCCTGGCTTGGTGACACTCAGCAGTGACATCCCACAAAAAATGAGTCTTCTTTGTGTCACAGTCTGGGGTCTTGCTTTAAAGAAAAAAAAAAGAAAAAAGGAAAACACACATTAAAAAAAAACGTATACAGCTGAGAATTTTAGGAGGGTGATCCAACCCCCTGCAGCCAGAGAAAGAGACTGTCATGACTCCTAACTCTGGTACTCTGGCTCAGACGCTAAATAGTTGAGGTCAAATTATTAATAGAGAAGGTGAGTGACAGATTCCAGACCCTCAAGTCAGGCTGCCTCCCAGCATTTTCTGCTTGTAAAAATAAGTAGCCTTTCTCCACTTCTAACAAAAATCTCTTCCCTGGCTCTCCTTGACGGTTCCCCCTCCTGTCTCCACCTCCAGAGATGTCTGAACAGTATAATTTCCTTTTATTTTTAGCCATCTTTCACGATTGAAAGTATCTCTGTGTCAAATAGAAAACGTTCCCATTAATTCCTCAACAGGCACTTACTGCAAGCAGTTGATGAAAATGAAATATTTAATGGGGGTTTATACCTGTGGACTTGGTGACACTGCTGCATCTCAAGAGCAAAACTGTGATGACATCAGGATGGATGGTCATGAGGCAAATCACCTCCCCAGCTTCGATGGTGCTTCTCTTTTGGGGTGAGTGTTGGATCTGGACTGGGGGGTGTGTGAGTTGGTGGCAGGTGAGCTTTGGGAAGCAGTGGCTGCTCCTGACACCAGAGTTTCCAGCTCTTCCTCCTGAAGCCCCAGTAGTGCTGCCTGAGACAAAGCTGATGTTTCTCACTTGTTGGTAGCATGTGACTGCAATGCTCTCCAGAGATCCAGCCGTGTCCACAGGCAGCTGTTCATCTCATCTAAGGTAAGAACCACTTGGAATCAGATCCAGAGTCCAGTTAGCCCCGTTCCTTCTCTTGCAAAGTGACCAGAGCAGATACCTCTGGAAGAAGACAACACAGGAGCTCCTTCAGGAGGTCTCTTGCATACTGCTACTGACTCACACTAGTTTTCACTTGAGATTTTCCTGAGGCATCATTTTTGCCTTTGCATTTAATAGTCTTTGAAGGATTTGTCTTCCCTGGATTAGTTCACCTCTTCTCAGGCCAGTTCTGCACTCCCATTTTTATGCTCAGGGAGACAGACACTGCTCCTGCTCATCCTCAGCAGCTCAGCTGGATTTTGCCTTGGCCTGGAGAGCTGCAGCAAGAGCATTTCCAAGACAGTGGAGGAGCCAAAACATCCCCTCGCTTGCACACAGTGAGGCAGGAGTTGATTCAGTTTAATGCAGCTACTAAACCTGACCCTGAGGATCCAAGGTTTTAATTGCATCCACTTCACAAATCAAGCTCTCTCTAATCAAACTCTCTTGTTGTGATTCACCCCTAGCCCACAGCCAAGATAAAGAAGACAGGCCTCACTTCTCTCTGCCCTTTCTCTCTTCCTAATCAGCTAATAGCATCTTCTTCCTATGTACCCCCTTCTGGGCTGCCTCCCCTCCTTGAAGTGTCACTGCTCTGTCCCAAGCCACCTCCCAGGTGGCTTGTGCATCTCACAGCATCCTGGTGGAAAAGGGTGTGAGGAATCCTGTTGTGTCCTTAAAAATAAGGAGGTAGGACCCACCTTCTCACTGCTGCCCCCAAACATGGGTATCAGCCTAAGGAGGGTCTCCTCTGCTGCCTGTGTCAGTCCCTCGTGGTTTTCTGTTGCGAAAGCTGTGGAAGGGAGTTTTTGGTGTACTGCATCCACTTGGGAATCATAACACTACTGGAATTTATGAATCATAACTAATCACGTTGCCAGGTACAGGGAGGATTATACGATGTGTGATCTAATAACTCCGGGCTGTTTAATCACCTGTGGTAGGTTCTGAGCACGTTGCATGACAAGTAACACAGCTGACCTTTTAAGGTGAAACTACAAAAGGTGTTTCTTTCACAGGTCTTTCCTCACTTGGCTTGGCTACAGCATCCTTACAAGTAGCAGGACCTCCTTGCCTGGTGGAAGCAGGAGGGAGTGCTGTCCCACAGGTGTTGTCACATCTCAGAGGAATTTCCCACTGGGATTTCTGCGGCACTTTCAACGGCAAGGGAAGGAACTGAGTCTGAATTTTGCATGACATTGTTGTTGCAAGGTGTCCACAGATGCCCAGAAGCCAACACGGCCTCCAAAGGAAGCTGGGAACGTTCTGCCATCCCGGAGAAGACATGTCTAGGGCTGACCCAGGACTGTAATCCAGCCCTGCAGTTTATGTGCAGGTGAGTTGTGTAGGGTGAGAGTGAGCAAACCCATGCCTTTTGTGCACTGTTCATTCACTCCTGTCCCCCAGCCCCAGTGAAACACTTTTGCCCTATGAAGAGCAACCTCTGCCAAGAATAATGAAGATAATGAAGGTGCCACTTGCCTGGCTGTGACAGTCCCTTCCTGCTGCCACCCCAGCACCACAAGCAGCTGAGGGGAGTGCCACCAGCACAATGTTCTCAACAACCTCTTAGTCTAAGCTTAGCTTAACCAATACAGACAAATCTGCTGTGTGAACAGAACTGCGTTTAATTGCTGAGATAAATTCGCAACAATTGCCCAGATGATGTTCACCCTTCCAGGGGTTTTTGTGACCGAGCAGGGGTTTTCTGGGTAAACCCACGCTCTGCCCATGCTCTGGCAGCAGCTTTCCCAGACAGCCAAAGCACAGCTCCTGCTCTCCAACGCCTTCCCCGCGGCCCTTGGAGTGGTTTCAAGAGAAAAGCGAAACGGCGACATTTTAAACGTCGCCTCCCACGCAGTGTCTCTCTTCAGCCTCCGTTCCCACTTGCCGTGAGTTCAGAAGTCTCTGGTGGATCAGTCTACCCCCGGAAAACTGTGGGCTTGCCAAAATAGAAGCATTTTTGCAGAAGGCAGTGATTTGGCTGAATGTTTTGCCAGCACATGTCTCTGGGGTTTGCAGTTTGTTTCAGCATTTTGTGTTTTTATTTTATTTTGGATTTCGTTTTCTTGTACACAATGCTACCAAAACAAAATATTTTAATGTTTGCAAATAATTTTTTTTTTTTGGGGGGGGGGAAGGGAGGAAACCAAGATTTACAAATACATTTTGCAATGCCAGGATTCCCTACCCAGCACTAGTCTCATTTTGCTGTCAGCTCGCAGTATCAGCTCTGGTTACGTAGAAGTCACTGTGAAAGGACCCGAATGTCTTTCCCACTAATATGCTTTACTTTCAGGATGGTGAATTATTTAAAATGCTTTCTATGGCCTTAGTCTTTCCTAAGCCCCAGTCTCATATTTCGTTAATGTCAGTCTCATAATCGATTATTTCTTTTCTGGTGGCAGCTGGCATCTCCTGTCAAGGACCAAGGTGCAGTTGATACCCTCCTGGTTGGTGATGGAGAGCAGAGCTGGGGTGATGCCCTAATTCAAACAAAGCTGGGAATGTCTGTGACCTTCACAGCTGAGAGTGAGTTGGAGGAGAGCAAAGCCAAGAGCTGAGTAGAGAAATTAAACAAGCCAGGTGAAGCAGACAATAGGATTGGGATGGACCCTAAGCAGAGAGTGTGAGGCAAAACAAGAAAAGCTCTTTCAAGACAATGGGAAGCATTTTAATTTGAAATGCCTCTGTAAATGCTGTTTTCTGGCACCTGGGAAAACTACTCAGTAGTTTTACTCAGTCATAGCAGGAAAAGAGAGGGAAGAATAATGCATCCAGTGGAAATTCCTGCAGCTCTTGGCTCAGCAGACCATAATTGGAGACTGGAGCCTGCTCAGGACACTGGAGCTAACACCTCCACCCTTACAAGAGGTGGAATCTTGGGTGACCACAAGTGGTAAGCTTGGGATGTCATTAAAATAGCAACACCTGCAGCAGCACAGAGCCCTGAACTCCCAGCCAAGGAGTTTCATCGTGCTCCTGACTTAGAGGGAAGATGCCACCTACTAAATCACCCAAACCACTTCCTGCAGCACCTGGTTTTTCCTCCCATCTCCTATCCAAATAGTGACTAGACTCATGTGAAAAATGCTGGATCTGCACCACACATTGCCATCGGGACGGATGCAGGAGGACTAACACACAGAAGGAGTTACACCTATGCCCATACCATGGGCAGAACAGGAGCATGTTCCATCCTGGAATGCACCTCTCCAGCACTTGGCCTACCCTAATCGATGGCTGTTGTTCCTGGATGTGGACTGGAAGACAGGCAGAGACATCTCTTGTGCTGGCTGAAGCCTTCAGCAGGGAGGAGGACTGTGGCCCTCTCACCTGCCTGCTTGCTCCTCAGCTTTCTCTTTCTCAAAGGCTTCAAGAAACTGCAGAGATTCTGAGATTTTTCTTTTTTCCTTTCTTGAAAGCGTGGCTAAAAATAGAGTATTGAAACCAAGCCTAGCCCAGAAAGCAGAGTGTGTAGGTGTGATGCAAACCAACACCTGGGGCTGTGAAGCATCCTGGGGGAGCTGGCACCCATCTGGCAGACGTGTTCTCTCTTTCCCCTCATTCTTTCTTTGGCACCTTGTCAGAGAGCACAGGAGATGCTGAACCTAAAGTAATCTTGTGTGAAAATAACCTACACATGTTGTTCTGGTTATGAGGAGAAGAGAACAAGGAGAGGACAACAGTTTTCATTTGCAAAACTGTCTGAGACCCCTGAGCTGCTGCTGTGCTCTCTGATTTTATTTCCTGGCTGAAGGTTTCTAGAGGTGGCTGGTAGAAAACAGTGATGGCAGGTGCTGCTTTGTGGTGGTGGGCCAGGATATCTCTGAGGTGTAAATAGGCCAGCAGATGACATGCAGTGCACAGGGGTGATTTCTTGGACAGCACTGGGTGCCAAAGGGGGAAGGTTCAACAGAAAGGAGCTCCTCCAAGTGTCATGAAACCATGGAACCTGTAAGGAAGGCTGCTGTGGCAGTTGTCTCCTCAGTTATAGGTTTTCCATGGCTGCACAACGTGGACATGCGAGTCCCACAGTGCACCCCTCTCTCACACCCTCCCAGCAAGAATGTGGGCAGGTCTTGTGGGTGTGATGGGGAGACACAGGTCTCCCTTGAAGAAAGGGGATTTGTGGGGCCTTTGTATAGAGAGAGAAATCATAAACCATGTGTGTGACACTACCGTAGTCCCTCCAGAAGACCTGTGCCTCCACCCTGCCATAGCAGAGGGGATTGGGGCAGGATGGGCATTAACATGTAAATCCTTACACAACCTGAGGACTACAGTTACCATGGATGAAGGGCTGTGGTGGACAGACATGGGCTTAGTGTCTGTCATCTGTAATGCAGCGGAGACTGGTGTTTGGTACAAGGAGAATTTGCCCCTCTTGGGTGCAGTTAATTGCTTGACAATGCCCTGACCTTGTGGCAACTCAGATGCTCCCTCTGTGTGGCCAGAAGGGGCTGTGTGCAGCCTTAGGGATGGAAGGATTACCCTGGGGTTTGATGAAGAAGGTGGCACAGGCAGGAGAGTGCATGTACAGGGTGAGTTTTATGAGCTGCATTGGTCTGGCAATGCCCTACACTGGGGCACCTCTCGAGCACAGCACCCCAGATACTCCAGCAATCTGAGAAGTAGTAATTCCCTTTCCTCCCTGCCATCCCCAACACCTCTGGTAGTGCTGGAAAATGGTAGGAAAGCAAGTATCCTCAGAGCAAGCCAAGTCAGAGAGCTATGAAGTTGGAAAGAGGGCTTTGAAAATCCAGGTGGCAACCAAACAGGCTGTGCTTCGAGTGGCAACTTCCCAGAGATGGGCTTCCAGGGACAGTCCATCTGGTGATGCCTGTGGATACCAGCCAAAAAAAAAAGGCATGAACGTTGCCAAGACCCCTCATTAAACCCTCCTCCCCTCATCCACCACCCTTGCTGATGTAAGTGCATGGCTGGAAGCAGTTCATTCCCTATCAGCCCTTTCCTGCTTATCTGGAGCCAGCGGCAAAAGCAGGAGCTGCTCTCACAGAGGGACCCTGCAAATCCTGGGATGAACGCCCGGACCAAGAGCTATTTCCCAGGGGGATCGGGGTGGATTGGGTAATTAATCACAGCTTGTCTGGGGGAGGATGAGGAAGTCTGAATAAAGGTGTTAACGGCTCTTAAAGGCTTTCCTGGTTCACAGAGGGTGCTGCCTCAAACAGATTATCTGGAAATATTATTAGCTGGAGTGGGAAAGGGGTTTTTTTCTCCTCTAGGTTCTTTGCAGCCACCCTAAATCTGCTTGAGCTGTTGAGACAGGTTTTATTGTGCAGGAGGTGGTGGGGGAGAGGTGTTGGCTGTCAGTGGGTCAGCAATTAATTGGTTTATTCCTTTCTCACGGTTATTTTCTGACCAACATCTGCTAAAGCCCCAGTGCCCGCTTTGTCCCAGCTCAGCAAACAAGAACCACAGGGATTTGCATGAGGGGACCCCAGGCCACGAGGGTGGCTTTGCAGGGGCTGCTGGGAGGTCCCTTGTCCTGCCAAGCCTCTTTCCCTGTTATCTCGTCTTAGGAGGAGGATGTGATTAGTGTTTTGTGCCATGGGATGTCAGCTGAGGGATGAGAACTGGGTGCCAAGAGGAGGAAAGAGCTGCCACAGATAGGTGGTAAGTGAAAGCAGAGACCTGCCCCCTTTGCTCCAAAGGAAACATTCCTTCTAATGTCTTCATGGCCATCAGTTCAGACAAATGCTGTTTTCAGCCCCTGGAGAAGTGACCCTCAGCCACGTGTTTCTGGGTGAGGGTGGGCTCTCCTCCATCTGCTGCTGCCATCTGGGAAATCATTTCTGATTGATCCAGCTTAACTGAAGTGCCATTCCTGTTTACCTGTGGCTTTGTTACAGTTCTAGTAGGTTAGAAACAGAGGGTGCCATCCGAGCAGAAACCTTGTGCCCTTCCAGCTCAGCCCAGTCTCTGCCCCAGCTCTGCTGCTGTAAATGAGCTGCAGGGGGTGGTGGGGCTGTGCTGGCACAGCTATGCCAGGCAGTGGGGCTCACTGTGAGCCCTACCAATGGCTCCCTCACAGTAATTGCTCTGATAGTTCTGAGCTGGGAAATCACCTTTCAGATCAGAGCAGGGACAGAGAAAGAACATGGCTTTGGCCTGAAGGATTTTGATAGCTGTAGCTTGGCATCATTTTGGCTTGGAGTGAAAAACATAAATTTTGAGTTCTAGAAAGATGGTGGAGTGAGGACTGTGAAACTGCTGTGCAGGGTAGTCTGCTCTCTGCTGCACTTTCCTGGCCTCCTCCAGGCCTGCTGGGCAAGTGGGAAACCCCCTCCATGAGAAATTAATTGGAAATCACATCATCCACAGGGAATATTTCCCTGTTTCAGTGCTGCTACTTCTCTCCCAGCTCTCTCTATATATTTAATAGGCATTAGGCACTCTGAGCAGAGTCCCTTGGGCTGCTTTCTTCATGGTTGCATCGATTTCCAACAAGTAAGTTAGCCCCAAAGAAAGCATAATGAAAGCAGCAGATTTCCAGGTCTCTCTTTTTTTTCTTTTACAGAGGGCCATCCCTTTCACACATGAAGCATAGCGAGCCCAAACCGGATCCCCATTCTCCATGGAGATCAGCCTGCAGGGATGACGAGAGAAGCAGAGTGAGTCCCCAGCCCTCTCCAGAGCAGAACTGCAAAACCACAGGCTTCAGCAAAGCCCTTTGAGCCAGCCCACTTCCCAGCAGAGTGACTGTCCCTTTCTCTACACTCAGGGCTGGAAATAATGACAGGTATGGAAAATCCATTACAAATAACTAATAACGCTCCGCGCAGCACTGCCGGCTCCATGAGCGCTTCCCCAGCTGCAGGGAGACCACAGGAGCACTCCCTGGAGCAAGCAGACACAGGTGGTGCTGGCATGTGTCTGGAAACAGCCCAAAGGTGGGGGGAGCCTGAATGTCTGGTGTTCTGGACCCTTCTCCTCTGCCATGGGACATCTCATCAAGCCCTGTGTTTCCAGGCAGCCCGATGTCAGCCCCAGGTGAGGCAGTGGTGGCAGAGCAGGGAGATAACCCTGTTTCCTTGAAGCAGAAATTTAATTTTGTGTTAAAATTGCTTTTTCCTCCCAGAAGGTCCTTAAGCATTCCCTAAGCTATTAAGAGGCAGAGGGGGATCTGGCTGGCCTGCCTGCAAGGCAGGGGTGGGTAAGAGGGGAAGGAACCAGGCTCTGCCTGGGTTGGCACTGGCGACCAGCACCTTAACCATGGAAAGGGAATGTTGGCCAAGGGCTCCAGCAAAACCCTGAAGCAGCAGATGTTGTCAAGTAGCTCCTACAGGCTCATATTGAACCCAAGGGCTGTGTCCACATTCAACAATGTAAGATTTTTCTCACGGGGTTTCCAGAGAGCATGGAGCAGGCCAGAACCAGGAGAGAGGCAGGCTTTTTAATGTTGGACTGTCGTTACTGTGTAAAGTAAACCAGAAAGCAAAGGGTCAGTGTTTCTAGTCTGCATGCAAACTTTGAACTAAGCCAAGCTCTTGCTTGTTTCAGTATCCCTTTCCTTCTTGAAGGATGTTTCTGGCATCATGTTTCTGGGGAAGGAAATCAGCAGTATGGTCAGCAGGGGGGCACACTGAACCTGCCAGTGCTTGATAAAGGCAGATCGATGCTTCAGGAGGAGCAACTGGACAAGGGGCTCATCACAGGCATCTTCCTCCTGTGCTCTTTGCTTCCCTGCAGCCTCTAATTCTGCAAAGCACTTTGGATTGTAGCTACTGGGACTGAATGGATGTACCTGGTAGTCTTGTGTTGCCCACTGCAGCAGTAGATATGCATAGTGTGCGTGATGGAGAAGAGACAAGCCACTTGTTCTCATCTTGAAAAGCCTCCTGTTGCCAGGGAAGCACCAGGGCTCACACCCCAGCTTATGTGTCATCAGTAACTCTCCTGCTGTTGAAATTGCGTTGTCTCTCTTAATCATGAAAGGCTTATTTTCCCACACTGGAAAATGAATTCAGCACCATTGGCAAAGCTGGGGGCTGGGAAGTTTTAATTACTGTTTGTACAGTGCTCTGGGGCTCTGGGGTGAATGGTGCTGGAGGCCTGGGAAGGGTTATATTATATATTAGCAGTTACTTATGTTTTATTATATATCTGAACTCTGTGGTCTTGTCTCTGTGGTCTCCTTCCTGATGCCTAAGGTGCAGTGGGGCTTCCTAACTCGAGCAGTACAAATACCCACCCTCCTGTCACTGCTACCACTGCTGAGCATCACTGCAGAGTATGAGGGAGACCTAGAAAGCCCAGTGTCCACCTACAGCCAAAATAAACTCAACCATTGTGTGCCTGTAGATACTCACCTGCTTTCTTTGGGGAAGAAGAACCCTAAAGCCCTTCTCTCATGGGGCTTTTACCACTAAAACATCTTTTCCTTAGGCAATGCAGCCACATCCTGCATTGACCTTCCTGTACCCTCCTTGTTCAGAACAACACCTTCTTAATTATAATCCATCAAATTCCTCTTTCCTCTACCTGGAAAAAACGGGATTTGGGGACAAGGAACAAATACAGAGTCATAAGTCTCTTTTCATGGGAAAGGAAATCAATCCAGCGCCCTGCTGGGAGCCCTGCTTTGCCTAAACCCTGGCAAAATGCAGTAAGAAGTTAAGGCTCTTAGCGGGCGAACATTACAAGAGCCCTATTAAGAACAGCTCAGGTCTTTGTGGTCAAGTGTTCCCTGCTGCACCCGGCGCTCCACGTTTTACACAACGGGGCGATTGTGGCCGCTCCGGCATCGGCACCCTGCGAGTACCCACCGTGGGCTGCACAGGATGGGCTGCTCAGCAACCCCACAGGGCAAAGCCAGTGCTTTGGGAAAGGATTTTGCAGAGAATAGGAGTGTTTCAATGTTGGCAAAGGCCAGGAAAATGGACTCATTAGCTATAAATTAGTGTATGATCCCACACGTGTACAGCTGCGGGCGTGTGATGGTGTCTCAGCCTATGATAGCATCCATGTGAAAATCAGGGAGAGAATATGATGACTTCGACCTCAATTTTTAATTTACACGCACACACACCCCCCACCCCACATTTGTGTTTTGGTGGCACACTTGGTTTTCTGACAGATACTTCCAAAATATTCCACTGATTACTGCAAGGGGCAAAACTGGAGTGACTTAAAATTTGCCAAAGTTTCTCAAATGCAAAATCCCCTCCAAAAGATGTGCTTTCCCTCTCTAGCCAGCTATCACCTGGTGGTTCCTCCTGAATGGTTGAGTCCTGGGATGGTGGGCAGCCCCTTGCTGCCTGTGCCAGGCATAATGGACAGGGCAGAGAGCACAGGCAAGGTCCCAAGGTGAGGACAAAGCCTGAGTATGACAGCACTGCAGTCACCACCCACTGCCAGCACTGCTTCCCATGTTTCCATCACAATCTGGGACAGACAGAAGGCAGAAAGAAATTAGCTGAGCCTCTGTGCCCCGATGCTGCTGCTCAGGGGGGTTTCTTTTACTGCCAGGTACATTATGGCTTCTGATAGGTGGCTGCTGGGTTGACACCTGTGGCTTTCTTGAGGCAGTTGGTTCTAGGTCCAATGGGTTACCATGGCCACATCACTGAAATCAGGCAAGGAAGGCATCCACCAGTCCTTTCAGCAGCACCAGAGTGTGCCAGGGTGTGATGGAGCCAGCCCAGCCCCATGCCTGGGAAGGACAGAAAGGCAAGAGTGTAAACAGTCCGACTCACATCCCTCCAGCACTATCCCACTGGTGAGCAGATGTCAGAGGAATGTATTTTGCAATGGCTTTATTCAGTCTGGAGTAACTCCTGTTCTCTCTCTTTCAGGATATTCTTCCCTGCAGACCTGCCTGACAGAGAGTGAGGAGGGATCCAGCGTGAAGCCACAAAACTGATCCTGAGGAAGAAACACAGCTTGCCTCCCGTCCTCCACCCCTGCAGACCCAAGGGGAGGGGCTGTCCGTGGATGTCCCTTTGGGTCAGAATCCTGGGCAAGGCAGCATCCCTGGGTGCTCAGCAGTCTCTTTGAGAGAGGTTTTGTTTAGGTTGGCTGCTGCTGATCCCAGCCTGTCTTCAGCACACAGATGCTTTTAGCCTCCTGAGGAGGGGTCTGAGTGGCCAGCAACTGCTGAGGACACTGCCACAATTCAGCCATGTCCCTGCTCAGGGCACAGACTGTAAACACAGTAGGGAACCCAGGCCATATCCCAGCCCAGCTTGGCTGCCTGGCTTGAGGTCCTCATCACCCAGAATTTGGAGCTTGCCTCTTTTTCCATTACCTCTAAGCAGAAATGGTGAATGTTTCGGTAATGTTTCCTAAAAATAAAAATGTCAACAGAAAGAGCCATTTAATGACATGAGTCTGTGCATCTTTGGGCCCTGATCAATCCACAAGCTGAGAAGAGAAATGCTGAAATAGCTCAGGAGTTTGAAGATACTCTGAGAAGGTTCCTTACTGCCCATGGATGTTTTCACCAGCATCACCTGGGGCAGGAGGGCTGTTTGAGAACTGTTTTCCCTCCCTAGGCAAATAGCCAATTTTCTCCAAAACCAGTCCATCTGTCCAATACTCTGCCTGATGGAAAAGCCTGTATCTGAAAAAAAGGCAACACAGCTTGTGTGACCGTGCTGAGGTGCCTGTAGTGTGTCAGCATGGGGACTGGGTACTGCTCCAGCACTTACATGGGGTGCTATGGCTTTCTTTGGGAAAGAAGTCAAAGGATATAGGCACCCTATGTTAGACTAGGCTTTGCTAAGCAGGAATGCATAAACTTGGTCCAGCCTATAATAGCCTTAAATGTCAGGGAGTGGCTTTTGATGCAAAACTCAGGAGCTGTCTTGACAGCAGCACGGGAGAGAAACCAGAGAGCAAGTACTTTGTGCAGCCTTTTGGGGAACGAGTGGATGAATCAGGGTGTAAAGATAACACAATTAACTCCTTCAGGCGGCTCAGGCAATGTTAAACCCCTGAAATTCAGGTTTTTTGAGGAATGACCCTACTTAGCATCCTTGCTTGCCTTCCTCAAGCCCTACTCTTTACCCATCCAGATCTGATCCTTTGTAGGAGACAGGGACAGGAGCTTCTCCCAGCCAGCTGAACATGGATGGTGGATGCTCAGGTAATTAAAGAATTGGTATGAGCTGCATTAACCCATCTTCTGTGCCCCATCTAATTTGGCAGGTCTGATGGATGTGCTGCATGGTTACAGAGCCCAGAGCTCAGTACAGGAACGGGGCATCTGAGGACACCAGGAGGACACTGAAAGCCTTGTCATAAAGCCTAAAGTCTCACAGCAAGTGTCTATTAATAAGCCATGCCCACGCTTCCTCCAGGTATTTACAGTGCCCTTTCTCCCTGTTAGCTTTGGAAACCACAGCTCCGTTTTGACAGAGCAAGTCCTTTTCTTTCAGTGATGCACTTGGTGCCACAAGTGTGTTTGGCTGGGGCTGTGCGTCAGTAAAAACCTACCTCACTTTGGGAAGTGAACAGGATTTCCCTCTAAAAATGATCTCTGTCTCCAGATGAGCAGTTTCAGCCTGTCCTCTGGGAGCCTCTCTGCTGTGGAGATGGTGGCTGGCTGACTAATGCTGGCTGAGGAGAGGTGTCATTGACCCCACAAAATATGGAAGTGACAGCATTAATCCAGCCAGCAAGGTCACCCCCCCCCAGGGCAGGCTGTCCCAGGTGAATGGGGGCAGGTGAGGATTCCTAGGTGCTCAGAAGGGGACCTTTGGAGGTTTGCCAGTGTGTGGGGACCACCAAAAACCCTGGAGGGTGGCTGTTTTCTTACCCTTGCCCAGGGCAGAGCTCCTTGTGCCACACTGACTCTTTGGCAAATGGGCCAAAACTGGCACATCTGCAAAATGGGGCCAGATGTCAACTGGGATGAGCCTGGCCTGTGAGTCAGGTTGGGCTGGAAAGGTAAGGAAAAAAGCATTTTCACTCCAGGGAAACAATAGGGATATGAAATGGAAACTAGGACCTCTGAGCTCCTCTGCCCTTTCCCAGGGTGGGGTGCAGAGGGCAGTCCCCAAAATCCAACATCTGTTGTAACTCAATTGTACTCTCTGAGAAATGTCTTTTTGCTGTTAAATGTGCCATTGCTGCTGGAGTGACTTCCTTCTCTCCAGCTGGAACTGGAGACAAAGGAAAGAGTCACTGGTAATAAGCTATTTATAAAGAAATTAATTTTGATACTTGCATCACTAATACAAGGCAAGGCAGCACCACAACTTTCTTACCGTGGTTGAGGACAGCACTCAGAGGAGATTGAGAGCCTTGAGGTCCTGTGAGTGGTAGGAGCATGTTTCAGCATTTATGTTGCAAGAGAAGAACCCAATTTACCTCACTGGAAAAACAGCCACTCATAAACCACAAGAACCCGTCGTTCTGGTCAGGCCCTTGGATTTTGTCAGGATTTTTTGAATACTCCTTCACAATTAAAATTCCCACTGAGCTGTCTTGCTGTTTGCAAGGCTGATTGGGATTGGGATGGTGCAGGTAAGCTGGCAGGCAGGATTGCCCTGAAGCATCAAACTGCATTCAATTAGCCCACCTTGCCTGCAGGAACATGGTTAGCTGGCAGCACATCACCCCTCCTGGTAAATTAGATATCGCACAGTGGCTTAGTCACACCGGAGAAGTACATGGCTCACAACTTGCTGAGACAAATTTCTCCCAGCTTTAATTAGCCATGAGATGCTGGAGTGCCCAAAGCACTCTCCCTGCCCATGTTTACACTCGGTGCATCAATCCAGTTTGGACTGAGGTCTCCAAATATTTGCAGTTAGCAAATACTGCTGTGTTTTGCTGTTCCAGCTCCCTGCAATTAGCTGGAAAACACAGGTTTGTATCCCCAGTCTTTTCAAAAACAAAAGGGTGGATGCTCAGGTCCCAGGACTTCAGCAGGAGAGCCAGCACTGCTCATCCAGCTTCTCTGCTGTGTGCTGGCTCAGTGTCACCCCCAAAAAGAAATGAGAGGAGGAGAGGCTTCTGGCACCCCGAGGATGGAGCAGGGACCAAGCAGCAGGAGCTGCTAATATAAATGAAGGATCACTTAGCATTTAAGACTTGATTCTGTCTTTGCTGTGTGGTTTTTACCTTTGAGGACACTTTTCCCTTTCCACATCTCCTCCCCTCATATATCTCTTACCAATGTGATGACAGGCAGGGAACTGAGGTATTTTCAAACAAGCCTCCATCATCCTGATGGTGGCATGGAGGTGCCCAGTCCAGCCAGGTCACACTTGCAAGCGCTAGACTTGGCACTTCTTATCTGACAGCAAGTGCACTCAAAACCTTAAAAACAATCTGCATTTTAACCTTGGTCATGTTAAACAGCTTTCAGGATGCAGTCATGCATTTGCTGGTTACACAGAGCGCTACTGGCAGTTGTTAAATAATTATGTTTAATTTGCAGTAACAAAGCACACGAAATCCGTGTTGTATAAACTCTGCTAAAGGTAAGTGTCGCTTTTATACAAAAATGCACAGGGCTAATTTAAAGATTTGAGGTCTGCCGACCCTCCAGGTTGTTGTAAACCATTTATATGTCTAAAAATGGATGCGAGAGGCAGCCCAGGGTCTACCTGTTCGTGCTGGCAGCAGAGAGCTGCAGTTGCTCTGCAGGGATGGATGGGTTTGAACACGCCTGGCACTAAGGCACGCGCTTAAAAACTTCCAGCTCATAAAGACTCATCCTCTGTTCCAGAGGCACTGTCTGAGCCTGACTGCAGTAAACCACGCCAGATAAGGGCTGCAACACTTGCCTTTGTGTTGGCTGGTGGTGATTGTGGCACTGAGTGCCAGCAGTGGCTGGCACTGACCACAGAGCCCTCGGCGGTGGCAGCGCTGCCTTGGCCCTGGCATGGTGAGAGGACAGCTTGGCTCTGGAGCAGGGGAGGGGAAGAACCTGCTTGGCTCCCATAAATGATGCTGTTCTCCTCAAGCTAAAATGGAGCTTGAACTGATACTTTATTCCTCCCATCCAGACTCAGAAAATGGGAGCCTCAGTCGCTGGGATGTTTTCCTTTGCCAAGCCTCTGCACAGCTCAGTTTTAGCAAAAAGTAAGCCCAGCCCCTGAGACATCTGTGAGGGACATGATGTTTGGTAATGGTTCAGCATGTATACTTAAGCCAACACAAGCAAGTGACAGGGGGAGCAACCCCATTGCACAGCCTTGTGGGTTTCTGGCTGTGTTACAGCAGTGTGAAGGAACAGAGGGGCAGGAACAAGAGGTGGAGACAAGGTGACCCTGCTGTCAGGAAAGCAAAGGCCTGACCCTGCTAACATGGTCCATCATGATGATTTGCTCTTTTGGACCCTCCATCCAGCATTAGGTCCAGCACCTTCGTGGGAGGTGCTGCCTGGCTTACCTTGCCCCAGCCAGGTGCTGCTGCAATGGTCCAGCTTTGCCATTCATGTTGTGCTGCACCTTGGAAAGGTGTTTGCTGTGTGTGGTGTTGGCTGTGATACCTGGGAATTGAGAAAGTTTTCTCTTCTGCAATTACCAGAGTGGCTGAAAGGCACAAGCTCTGTAGTACCTGGCATTTTGTCTTCCATCTGCCTCTGGGCTTGAAGAAGCCAAAAAGGGAATAGAGGATTGCTTTTACCCCTTCTCCCAGCATGGGTTAGCAGAAGCAAAACTATAAATCAGGAGGCATTTCAGCACTTACCTCCTGTTTTTACAGAAATCACTATACATTACAAGTGCCTTTGCATATTTTATAGCACTTTAAAAAGCCAATGTAGCTAATCTGGAAGTTGGCTTGTTCAGAGAAGCACAAAACATGTGCAGCCATAAAAATCCCTCATTTGATGTCAAGCTATTGCATTTTCAAGCATCTGAAAGGCAATCACTATTACGCATCCAAGGAGTTTGCCTTGACTCACCCCAGCTCCTCGTGGTTGGTGAGAACAAAAAGATCAGCACAGCATCTTGAAAAGTTGTGTTGTTGCCATACAGAGCAGATGTTTTGGTAGCAAAGGCAGCCTCCATCCAAGGGCTCACCTTTAGAAGAGGTGCAAGGTGATGCCAAAAGGTTGGAGGAGTAATGGTCCTGGAGCAACTGGCCTCCCTCTAACAGGGAAATCTGGCTCATGGGGAGGTTAGGTGGCAAAGTGCTCTTCTGTCTCTGAGAGCTGGTGGAGAGCAGGATATTCATAAGTTTTCTCTCCTTTGGCTCTTACTACTACAAAATCTGTGGGAATCTGTTATTTTTGGAAAAGCTGCTTTTCTGCCTAGATGGATCAAGAGGTTCAGCAGTTATTTGTGATGCATATATAAGATATATAAGATGCATATTTTCATGCCCAGATACTCAGGGTGGTCACATAA